TATATGGGAGAGGCAATGGGTCCAGGGCAGTGGAAATGTAGCTGACCACTGGGCGAGGCTGGACATCTGTACTTGTGAAAGCCTTTAGCGACTTCTTGTTTCTCACATAACGGAATGTGAGCACCTGGCTTGGCATTCGAGGCCCTCCACAATCTCACCTCACTGCTCACCCACCCCCCACCCAGATCCACTAGTTCAAGCTGCTGGTCTACCCGCTGTCCTGAAAACACTCCCTGCATCCTCTCTGGGCAAATGTAGTCCTGGAACCATTCATGTCTTCTCTATTTATCTAACACTCTTTATTTTTCTAATCACCCAGCTTTTTAAAGCAGACATTTCTGTGAAAAGAAGCTGCAATTCATATCAAGTAGTGAAATGGTTTTATTTTCCTCAGTGGCCTTCCATTTACTTGAAAGTCAAATTCCTTAAAATGCTCAATGTCTACCAGTCTCCCCTTCTGTTTCTGCTTCAGCCACACTGTCCTCCTTGTTATTTCTCAAACAATCCTAGCATCCTCCTACCTCAGGGCCTTTGCACTCACCATTCCCTTTACTTCCAATGTTCTACCTTTCATGCTGCTTTTCCAATGTTCTCATATTCAAGAGGCCTTTCCAAACCACCCCACATGAACAGAGCTTTTCACTCCAGTACTACCAATTCCCTTTGGCCTGCTTTATTTAGTATCACCTGACATGTACATTTTTGTACTTACTGTGTCTCCCCCACTGAAATGTAAGGTTGGTGAGGTATCCCTAATGGATGGAACAGGGCCTGTCAAATAGAGCATGCTCAGTACATATCTGTTGATTGAGTGATTTCCCCCAGACTGAGAATTCTTTGGATTGTAGAGTTTACTTACTGCAACCTCAGAAGGTGTCATTTGGAAACTTACTTACTGTTATTTTGTTTTATGATGGGAGGATGAAACAAAAACAAGTTACATATTGCCACTTTAGCATTTGTTCTGCAAGTTATCATTTAAAAATATTTGTAGTACTAACTATGGCCAAGCACTATTAAATAGAAGATATAACCCGTACTTTCATGGAGTTTATAATCTAATTAGAGGCCCAGTGCATAACATTTGTGCATGGAGGGGGGCGGTGCCTCAGCCCGGCCTGCAACTTCTCCAATCCAGGACCCCTTGGGGGATGTCTGACTGCCGGTTTAGGTCTGACATCCCTCTCGCAATCTGGGACCGCTGGCTCCTAACCGCTTGCCTGCCTGCCTGCCTGATCGCCCCTAACCACTCTGCCTGCCTGCCTGATTTCCCCTAACTGCTCCCCTGCTTTTCTGATTGCCCCTAACTGCTCCCCTGCCTTCCTGACTGCCCCTAGCTGTCTCTGCCTCGGCCCCCGTCACTGCGGCTTTATCTGGAAGGATGTCTGAAATAACATCTGGAAGGTTATTTGGCTGTCTGGTCTAATTAGCATATTACGCTTTTATTAGTATAGATGGGGATATAGGGCTAAGTAAATATGCAGATAAACATATGCTCACCAATTGTGTGCACCAATTGTGCTAAGGACTGCAAAGGAAAAATAGTCCTGAGCACCTATGACCACGAGAGAGAATAACAAGTAAAAGGGGCTTGGAGGAGCCCCCTCCTCATAGTGAGGAATTGACAGATAAACTGAGACCTGGGTGGGCAAGGAAGGAAGTGTGGGATTTAGAAGAGCCCACCCCTTTCTGTTGGTCCTAAACTCCACCTGCGCTGGTTTGTATAATGCAAAGATTGCAATCAGAGCATGGAAGTTTCTTTGTGACTTTATATCAATGTAATTATTAGAGAATATGTAAGGAAAAATATAAAGTTAAATCTGAATAATTATCTGGTACCACTTTGAAAAAGTTAGGCCTAAAGTTCCTCCATTGTTCACTACAAGTTTCCAGGTCTAATCAGCGGTATCTGTGCCATCCAGCTGGGTAGCCACACTTGGCTAGTTTCATGTTTCCTTTTTATCTTCTTAAATGTGACTGCTAGAAGAATTTAAAATACATCTCTGGCTCACATTATATTTCTGTTGGACAGTGCTGGTCTATATAGCTGCATAGCTGGATTTTTGTTTGTTTGTTCTTTTTATATGAAAACATCCACACAGGATGTCAGTAGGGCTAAAGAAGAGAATTACAAAGTGAATAGTGCATGAACAAAATAATTATTCTAATAGTCATCTAACATTTGCAGATAAAAACTGTGGATGCTTGTAATTGTTCTTGTCAACATCCATTTCCCTTTCTTCAGGTAAGAACATGTCAGTAGTTTTTATCACTTCTCCTCACTTCTAATGTCAGAGATCTTAGCGATGTCTCTTCAGGTCATGTGATCCAGGCTAGCCAATCAAAGTGTTGCTTCCCCTGGGTCGGGCATGTGATCCAGGACAGACCATCAAGACTCAATTCCAGGGCTTTTGTTAGAACTCTTAGGAAAGAGGAGCTCTTTCTGCAGGAGCTGCTAATTTTTGAGGACAATAATTTGGGATGACTCTTTGAAACTAAACACTCTTTCTATTGAAACCAATTGGAAGCAGATGGAAAGAACGTTTTCTGACAATGTTGCTCGGCCTCCTGAATCCAGCTGGTTTGAAGCTGCAACCCCTCCTAGACTTTTCAGTCACACACCCTGCTCTGGTGTTAGCTAGTTGAGCCGGGTTTTGGTTATATGCATGTCCTGGCTTAGATAATTGCTGAGATGTATGCACTTGCTGAAGGCTTTTTAAAGAGAATGAACAGTTCTTCAAATGAACACTAATTAAGTCAGTACGACCCACCAGAATAAAATCAATTAATGATTTTTTCGGTTGATACTTTCTGTTAATTAGTTGTATTTTCTTCTAATTAAAGCCCTACTGCCAGGACATAATCTATATAATGATTTTTGCATTGAAAACTGTAATAAGAAGTCATAGCAAAAATGCGGAGGAATACTGATTTTAAAGGGTTCCAAAGAACGTTTTTCTTGGGAGTCATAATGCAGATGGTTATACGTGTAGATGTCTGTTAGCCACATGGCCAGTTTCCAGTGCAATTCAATTGTATAAATGTCTCAATGCTGATAAGTTATTGTTGTTATGGGGCAGGAATTTTACCAGAACCAGTAAGTAGTTAACTCAGGGAGTTTTATGAAAAAACACTGATCATCTTTGTGTTGTTCTTCCTTTTCCTTTAATGATTTCCTTCCAATTAAATGCCCAATCTAGAAACACCAGCAACACCCTGAACCATGATGCTGAATTTTCACCTCTAAGTTTCCATTTTAGCTCAGTCACTGAGTTTGTATTCTAACCAAGTCACAGAACCTGCCTATGTGAACCTAGGACCGATACCCGTGTCCTCTGATGCCAGTGCAGGGGGAGGACTTAACTGCCTGCATGCGGCCCGCTCGCTGCTGTTACAGTCATTATTAATATCTGTCAGCAGCCAAGTCTTGGTGGATGGTCACGGATGAAATTAACTTAGCTCGGCTATGCAAGGAAAGCTATAATTAACAACCCCCAAAGCGAACAAATATTTTTAAAGCAACGTTCTATACATATACTCAGGTTGGTAGCTAGTTTCCTCCTTTAAAAATTCTGACTTAGAGCAACAGTAAGTGGGCAAATTCAATAAATATATACGGAAGAAATAAAGAAGTCCTCCTCAGACATTCGAGAACATCGCCCTGCAGTGGAAAGTGAAGTCGCGATCAGTGTGTTACAGGACACAGCAAGACGGTTTTCAACCACAGGGCGATCGTGTCGTTTCTCACCTTAAACAGAAAGTCTTTTCTGGTTCAGAAAAGTTAGCCTGAGGACTTCTAATCTTTGAGGCTTGTTATTTGATACTACATACATATGTATATATCTGTATGTATATGCACACACATATATATGTGCGCACACACACACAGACACGTGTTTGTCCTGCACTCCCTGTTAGAAATTTCAGTTTTTAGAAGGACTGTCTTCATTCTCTTTATACATGTCACATAGAAGTGTTTACTGGGTTGGCTTTTTATAGACAGCATCTTAATAAAATTAGAAATTATTATAAATGCAGAGTTTCTATTCAAATCACAAGATTAGGCATAGAGCATATTCTTAGTGACTAAATAATCCTAGAAACATATGATGATAAAGTCCGTGGAAAATACAATGTAGCTAAAGCAATTCCACTTGGGTTGATTAAAGGTGTCTTCATGGGATGGATGCCCACATTCACATCGTTGGTACAGTACATGCAGACAGAACTTCTGCCGCTGTGTGCAAAGTCCTTGGGGTTTCTGAGTGCCCTCCATTTCTAATACCCTTGGCTTTTCTTGGTCATCTGGTTGTGAAGAGTTAAAATTTGGCAAAAGAAAAGGTCTCTAACACAAACCAGTGGAAAAGGAGAAAAAATGCCATCCAGGCTTAGAAGTGAGCACAGGAAGACACTCATAGATCCCAGGACAGATCCTGCCCGTGGGAGGAGCAACTTCACGGCAGGCAGCTCAGCCGGGGAGGGCAGGGCCAGCGCCTGGCACTCATCCCCGGGGAGCATCTGGCAGGAAAAATCTCAGAGGGAGGAGGGGTGGTTCCTAGTTCCAAGGAAAACCACAAACTACACTGGGGGTGGGACGCAGACCTGAGGGAGGAGCACCGACCTGCACGCCTCCCACTACCAGCCCTGGAGTAAAGTTACCTGAGGCTGTGCCTTCTCCCTTAGGGTGAGGGGCCCACGATGCGGGCAGGGCACCAGGGCATGGAGCTCTTTAGTGTCTGAGGCCTCTGGCTCTAGCTCGTCTAAAAGCAGCAACTTTTACTTGAAGTAGGCTGACTCCAGGCCTACTGAGGGCCCTCACATTTCCAGGTGCCGCCCTCTGGAACCTCAGCCAGGGGTGTGTGTGTGTGTGTGTGTGTGTGTGTGTGTGTGTCTGGAGAGAGAGAGAGAGAGAGAGAGAGAGAGAGAGAGAGAGAGAGACCATTCTAATGTATGGCAACCATAACTAAGCATACATTTTTTAAAAATGTACGGAAAGTTACCTTTCTTCTCTCCTCGGCGGCCTCCAGTTTCTTCTGGATCTCCTCCAGGGACAGGTCTTTCTTCTTGGGAGAAGCTAAAGTTCGCGGGGCTTCTGAGATGGGAGACGGTGGCTTTAAGATCAGCTCGAAAGCCTGGCCAGAGGCACGTTTGTTGATCTGCTTCACTTCCATGTCTGAGGAAGGAATGTGTGCGGATGGTGAGCACAGAGCTGGGAGCTGGGCCTTGTTTTAATCACCCGAGTCCCGGCCATTGAAAACAGCCTTGCTGTGTTGTCAGATAGGGACACAGAGCTGCGTAGGACCCTCTGCTCCACCTCGCGTGGAAAATACAAAACCTCTTTCTGCGGTGCAATTATGGATATATTTTAAGAGAATAAATATTTACGCTGTTGGGGAACTCAACAATATCCACAGGGTGTTGAGTAATGGCAGACATTCTTAGGAGAAAATAGCCTGAATTGATTTTAATCTAAACTTGATTTTTTTTTTGCATAAATATGGGCTTCACATGAAAAACAAGTAGCACAGACTTCCATGGTTTTGTGTGGAAATTAGCAGGCCAGAGGCACTTTCAGGCTAAATGATGAGAAATAACAAAATCCTCCATTCCCACAAACAGTCCTGTTAGCGGCCCCACATCTGAACTGTTTTGAGCCATAGACAAGCAGTAAGGCCTGATAGCTGGACCCAGCACGTGAGGAGCGAGCTCCACCAGCCAGGGATTCGATCAGATGAGGAGCTGGGAGGGAGAAAGGACAGGACCCCGCCATCCCGAGGGCAGCCTTTCTGGTGTGAACTCACCGTCGTAAGTGTAGATGCTGATGTTTCGGGGCTCAGGGTAGAAGCAGGAGCAGATGAGCGAGAGCATGGACAGCTCCTTCATTTTCTCCTTGTAAGCTGGAACAAAGGGCACGGTTAGATTCTCCCCTCCCTCAGCTTCCTCTTTTAAAAAACATTTTTATTGATTTTTAGAGAGAGGAAAAGAACGGGAGAGAGAGAAACATCGATGTGGGAGTGGGACAGTGAGCAGCCGGGAATTGAGCCACAACCCAGGCCTGTGCCCTGACCACTGGGAATCGAACCGGCAACATTTTGGTGTTCGGGATGCCGACCAACCAATGGAGCCACACTGGCCAGGGCCCTGTTTTCCTCTTAATGCTTCATTTAAGTTCAGTAGTAATAGCCTTCTCCATATACGGCCCGGGACCCCGCTCTGCTCTCTTTCACAAAACATAAAAGGATGAATGGTTAAGCCCAAACTCTGAAGTGCATGTTCTTACACAGGACATAAATGGCGTGTTCCAGCCGGTTAGGTAAGAAGGTGGAGAAGGGGATTAAAGGAAGGAAGGTGGAGGAATGAGATCGGGCAGGACAGGAGGGAGCGACGGGAAAGATCTGGAGGAAGCAGGAGCAGAAACGAGCAGAGATGGGGCAGTGCAGCGCCCGCGCAGGCCTGTGGCGTGTAAGTGAGACCCAGGAGGTGCCCTGAGCTGGCTTAGCCCGAAGGCCTTCATTGGAGATGGCAGAGAACGCACCGGGATAGCTAGTGAGCAGACACACCCTCCAGGGACCCAGGCTGCTGCTTCCTCGTCACCCCCAAGGGCACTTTCTTACATCTCCCTCTTTCAACAGACACTGAAAACCTGGCCTGAGACCCAGCATGGATCCCCTTCGCTCTCTGTGGAACCCAGTGTGGGTGCCCACCTCGCCAGGTGGCTGCAGGAGCTCAGATGGGCACCTCCTTCCTCCTTATCTCCCCTTTCCATTTCATTTTCCCCTTTCCCCTCCAAGGGGTGCCCTGCCCAGGCAGCCTTGAGGGCATTTTACCACTGTTCGTGGTTACCAGGACAGTGATGGCCAGATGTTGATTCTTTAATTAGTGAGATTAATACATTAAGAAAAATGGGAGGAAAATGATAGGCATATGGTGCCCTAACTTGGAATAATGTGTTGAACTTCCCGGGTAACACATGCCTCTTGGCAGGGTCTTCTGATCACCACTGTGACCCAAGGGAGAGCGAGCATGTTTGGGAAACGCAAACCCACAGAAGATACCGTTGCACTCTAGCGGCAGGTATACCTTTGTTGGCCAGCGAGAAACAGACGCAGCACCGGGTGCTTTAGAGCTGAGAATGCTAGATTGGGAAGGTCCCAAGGGAGCATTTAGTCAACTGGCCCTCAGAGGGCAGTCATCTGAGGCCAACGACAAAGCTGGGCCTCTGGATGAAATGCAGTAACGCTACGTCAAGGTCGCCAACAGGCCTGCTCCAGCTCAGTTTCAGGATGAGGTTCACTGTGCCCAGAGCGCTGGGCCTGCCTGGTCAGAGGAGGGCGGGGCGGTGGTCAGCAATGGTTTCACAGTCAGGTTGCTAGATTTAGCACATACACATATAGGACACCGAGTCAAGTTTAATCCAAATATTGCATGAGACCTATGAACAATCTTCCTTTGCTTTTCTGAAATTCAAATGGAACTGGGTGTCTTGTATTTCATACGGCAGCCAGAGAAAATCGAGGGAAGGACATTGAGTTGGGCTCTAAGGAGTCCATGGGAGACTTTCATGGACTCTGGGTTCTCAGAAGGTTGAAAACTCCAGGAAGTATCACCCACTTCCTGGTATCTGTGAATGGGGACCTCTGTGCCCCGGGAGACAGCGTGGCCACAGGCTGTGCTGCCATGGTAGGAAGTCTTCCTGGGAGCCAGTTCTGCTCCGAGGTTTCCGGTAAGATACTTGGAAATTTTGCTCATGGAAACGGATTGTGACTTACGACATCATATTTGCCTGGAAACAAGCATGGATAGATTTTATCTAAGAATGTTAGAATATCATGAATTTTAAGTGTAATCTTAAAAGAAACATAAGGTTAGGAGTTTGGTTTTGCATCAACCCTTAGGAATATTTTTGTGAGAAACTTTGAGAAGCAGAGGTGGCAGTGGGCTGGTTTAAGCCCATCAGTAACATCCCCTCTCACTGTCAGAGTCTGGCCATGACATTCATCCTAGTAACAGGGAGCCACTAAACCTTTCCAAAGGAGGGCAGGTACCTGACAAAAGACTCTCCTTACATTTATTTGGCCACTTTATGCTGGAAAGACCTGCCACTGGGAGACACGCTTAAGAAACAGCTGGATGAAGTTTGAGGGCACCGTGGTTGGCGTTGAAATGGTAGTGCCAGGGGCAAAGGACGGGAAATGCAAGAGACTGTGTGAAAGAAGCACCTTGATAGGAAATAACATCTGAGTGAGGGCCCAGGGCAGAGGGGAGGGGGGTCCTCGCGGGTGGTGGTCAAGGGAAGCTTGCCAGAGAAAGTGTCCTGAAAAGGAAGTCCCATGAGCGAGTTGTTCTTGCAGAAATTAGGGCATGGGTTGAGGTGCTGAAATGCACATAAGTTGGATAAACTTTTGTATGCACAATAAAAAAATCCCAAGCAATTGCAAAGGCTATTAGAAACGTGCTAATAATATCTCACTATTGATATTTCATACTTTGAATTGACAATTGTTATCGGTTTTTGAAAATCAGCCTGTATCAATCTGTTCACAGCACCCAACGCATGCGAGCAGAGCTGGATGCGCATTTGCCGGGATGTGGGAGGTGACCGGCAACTCCATGTAATCTTCTTCATAGTTGGTTGCACTTGCGATTAACTACTAATGTTTGCAAGTAGGTGTATTTCTCCAGTGACTTCATTTAAAATTCAGCCCACGTGATGCCTAATGATTCTACAGCAATATCCACGCAGCCTAGCGATGTACAGATAGTGGTAGTTTTGCCACTCTTCTGAAAGGCTACGTGAACTGTGGATACTGGTAACAGCTGCCATTCGCTAAGCCGTTTGCATGCATTTTCTCATTTAGTCATCTCAGCACAGCCAGGGGTACTATACTAGTCTAGGCTCACAGATGAAGCAAACACTCAGAGAAGTGGAGGAACTTGCGCAGCGTGCGACAGATCAGAGTGGAGTTCAGTTTGAACGTAACTATTCACTTCCTCCAACAATCTGCTCAGATTTGTAACATACACCTTCACCGTCTATGTGTGGTTTCTAACCAGAAAGGATTACTTTTTATTTGTTGTATATTAGGATTACTGATGTTTAAAATAAAGAATCCAAGACTTTTTTTATCTTCCCATTTTCCTTTGGCGTCTGTTGTTTAATTGGCACAAGTAAGTATAGAGGTTTATAGAAAGAAAGAAACCTTTTTTTGAACTTGTGGATTTTACTTGGTGCAGATGGTGAGAAAACTCAGGAAGAGTTGCTGAGCAGGGACTCTGAAAAAAATATTATATATACATATATATATATATATATATATATATATATATACACTATATATATATACACACACACACACACACACATATATATATATATACACACACATTTAAAATTCAGCCACATGATGCACATATATAATAATGTAATATATATATTGGTTAATCCTCATCCAGAGGATATTTTTCCATTGATTTCCAGGGAGAGTGGAAGGGAGAGGTAGAGGCAGAGATAGAGAAACATCGATGTGAGAAAGACACATTGATTGGTTGCCTCGTGCACGCATCCTGACCAGGGCGGGGATTGAGCCTGCACCAAGGTACATGCCCATGACCAGAATTGAACCCTGGACCCTTCAGTTTACAGGCCGACGGTCTAACCACTGAGCCAAACTAGCGAGAGTCCTGCGTGTATATTCTTATTATATGGGTAAGTATATCCTTACATGCTCATGTCACGGTCAAGGAGATAGAGAAAGTGGTGTGATCCGGGTATTTTAGGAAATCACCTTTGCACCAGTTATTCAGGTGTTTGAAGAATGATAGATGTTGGCAGGCAGTTACCTGAAATTTTTCTCTTTCTTTTCCGTGTGTATATAAATGTGGGGAGTGTGTGTGTTTTTCTTTGAGGAACAGAGTAGTGGAGGAGAACAATATAATTGTTCTTGAGACTTAATCATCAGATTAGATCGTGGGATAGATTAAAATGAGATGTGTTGCTTACTTGGTAAAATATGAAATAGACACACACATTTATAGTTATTTCCCCCCAGTCTTCTAAATCTTCATCACAAGCTCTGAGCCCTTTGCTCCAACTTTCAACTACCTCTTAATTTTATAGATGTTGTGTTTCAACAAGAAAATATATTATTCATGACAATATGCCCAGCCCCAATATTTTGAAAGGCCAAGTAAGTAAACATTGTAAACTTTCTACTTCACTTGGCTTGTGTGAGAACACGCACCAACATGAGCTCTCATCCCTACCATCTCGTTGTTACTTGATTTGGAATCAGTAGTGTCATAAAATACTTTCCGTGTATTCATTCTGGGCAAAATTTTGTCTCCTCAGTTTTGGCTACTGCGGAGTGGGGCGTGGCTATCTGTGTTAGATTTCCTGTTACCAGGTGAGAGCTAATAGGAAATGCTCTGGGAATGTTCGTAAGGTGCTACGTTGGGAGGAAATATCTCATACTGTCTGAGTGGACACTCGAGTGTGTGACCACAAGGACCGTCGCCAGAGGCCTGGACGTGACCGAGGACGTGTGCCCTGGATGGCTCCGGCAGAGTGAGCGCCCAGGTCTGTGAGCGCCTTCTCTCTCCCTTCCTTTCTCATGTTTCCTGTGAGACGAGCGAGGGCCGGAGGTTCTTGGCTTCAATACCTAATTTGATTCCACCTGAACGCCTTCTTCTGAAAGCCTCTGGGCGGAGTGCAGGGCACAGTGTGAGGAGATGGCGGACGCAAGGGACGGCGCCTGCGCTTGGTCTCACTGCACTCAGATCGCACTGGCTTCTGAGGGATTTCATTGAAAAATTTCCTTATTTGAAACTTACCCATTTTTATAAACATGGACTAAAGGCACCCCTTTTCTCAGGGAAAAAAAGCTGTCATTCCCGGTGG